AAATTCACTGAAATTTCTTATAAATTGACATTAAAGCTCATTACCGATAAAAACACGTGATGTACAAATGTATAATTTGTCAGTCGTTGTCAACTTTTCTTTCTTTCTTATCTGACAATTCGGTAAAATATTTTTAAAAAAAGTTATCAACATTCACAAAAAAACCCAAGTCGTAAAAATTAAAAGCCACAAAATTAAAAAAATATTATTGAATTGTTTCTCCTTTCTTTTTTTAAATCCCCAAAATGTAGATAAAAAAATTATTGATGATTTTGTATGTGGAGTACAGTCTTTGTTGGGGTTTTGTTAAGTAAATGTATCGTTCATATTATCAGTGTAAACCAGAATACAAAATATAGGATCCACGGTTGTACGTGACAAGGAGTCGGGTCGCCTGTCCAACCTTGAGGGTTTTCTCCGGGTCCTCCGGTTTCCCCCCACAGCTAAAGACCCCTAGGAATTATTGAAATAAAATTGAACCATATGTTAGTCCCGAAATGAGCTCTTATATCGAATTCCAACTGCCAAGGGATCTTTTACGTGCATTCCAATGTATACACGGGACCTCGGTTTTTTCGTCTCATCCGAAGGACTCGACAGCTGTCCTTGTCAGGCCCCCCGTTTTGCATCACTGACAAGGGGGACCCACGCCGGACGTAAACGAACCATTGACAGCTTGACAGTTGGAATTCAAAATAAGAGTATAAAAATATTAATACAAAAACACAACACAATTTATATGGGAGACAATCACTTGTTTGTGTACTTATAGCACAACGTTTCGACAAGTGTTCTCTTATCGTTTGTGCCGGGGGGGGGGGGGCTATTTGCGCATTCGTTAAATTCCACTTAAGGATTATATATATAAATATACAATTTACAACAACATAAATAGACAATTCAAAATAATAATTTACAACATTATCGAAAAATACTAGTCAACGTGCACTCCACCCCCACAACAAGAAAAAAAAAATACAAAACAACTGAAAATTACATTTGCCATACCATCTAACCACTACAGTCAACATTTCATTTATCTTGTTGCCCGGCAAAGTGCACTTGAAAAATAAAACAATTCTTTTTTTTTATTTTTAAATGTCATTGTTTGAAAATAGTGTACGTGATAATTTTACTACCAGCATCGTCGCCATCTTCTGCTTATTAAATAAACGGTTTATTTCTGCGAAATATTAAATTTAATCACCATTATTTGCACAAAAAAACTTGATAAAAGCTTCTAAAAGCTTGATGTCTACTTGAGTCTGGTCGTAATAGGGTGGTGTTTTGTGCGGGTTATACTTGGCCAAACGACGTCATGATAATTCGGCTTTCTGTTAGTTCGGTACTTAGTAGGTTCTCTACGACCGATAACAAAGAAGCGTTTCAACAACGTCGTAGTTTGTTGACTGAAGGGCTCCTCTGGTACCCTTTAAAGTACTCCACCATTTTGTGCCTGTGAAAAAAGTGAACATGGGTTAATTATAGTTCTAACATTCGTTTTTAGTGAAATCTTCCGATCAAAATGTTGGGTCTTTTATTCATTTGATTTAAGATAAACGAATTTTGTGTTAAGGATCGAGAGGTTTAGATAAAACGCATTCTGTACACAGAGAACAAGCTACTCTACTTCGAGAATAGACCTCTGCCCTAAATGGCCACCATATCCAACAATTATAATACTGTTTTATAATGTGGTCTTACTCTGGTTCACATATGTTATACACAAAAAGACTAATTAAAACTGTTTAATTTTTATTATCTGAAAGCCGAATATATACTTCTCAAAATTCTCGAAATATAGTTAGTGTTTTCGACTAAGACTTAAAATGTTGGTCAACTAGCTTAGTGTCTGTTCTCAAGCGGAGCTAATTGTAGACCGGTAGCGTAAGTTTAGTATGGATAAAACGCTGGACCGAAAACGTTAAGTCTGGTTCCACCTTGTCGGTGATACAAAATTGAATAGTTCCGAATGATCTAGTAGGTGTTGAGTGGATGTGAAACATCATGTTGTATGGAAGCGCATTGGGGTCAATAGCACGAAATATATCACTCCCCTCCCTCCCGCCCGCCACCAACCCGTTCCTGAATGCCTGGCGAATGTCTCCCTGACTCACCAACCACCTGTCCAATGCTCTGCATGCCACTGACAATAATATACCTAGCAACGAACCAGTCGATGGTATCGTAAAGATGGGGGACGGTGTTCTAATAAGTTTGAGGCTTCCAGACCTCCTTGACTTAATATTTCATCTAGACTTTTGAGGGGGGTTGGATGGCTTAGTGGTTAGCACGTGCGCGCTGTATCATTAAGTCTGTCATTGAGTCAATTGGCGTGGTTTCGAATCGCTGGTTGTACGTGACAAGGAGTAGGGTCGCCTGTCCAACCTCGTGGGGTTTCCTCCCACTGCTAATAAATAAAATTGAACCATATGTTAGTCCCGAAATGACCTAGTTTGTGTCGAGTGGACGTTAAACCCCATTTCTCTCTCTCTCTCTCTAGACTTTTGAATCAAAGACGGTGTAGTAAAGATGATACTTGCCTAGCGGAATTATTACCAGGACGGTGTTCTAATAAGTTAGAGACTTCCAGACCTCCTTGACTAAATGTTTCATCTGGACTTTTTGACTCAAAGACAATATATTTCTAACTGTTTTATAAATTAATCTCTCAGAGTTTTAGATATTTGTTCAGGCGATGTATTTCTGGACTTGAGTCAATCCGGACAACACACCTCCGACATCTTTATCAAACTTGGGTCACTTTTTTTATCGTCAGATTGTTTGAATGGTGGTCTTGTAGAACGTTTCAATATTACCATCTTTCTTTGATGATAAAAACAAATTATACTCTGGCTCATTACTCGGGCCAAATTCCCTTTTAATTCCAAAATTGGACAAAGACAATCCAACCGATATTAAAAGCCAGTGTTTCCTCAAGCGCTAGTCCACGTTGCATATAAATGCACTTTATGGCCCGAAGGTATACGAACAAAATTGTTTTACTTTCAGAAATGAAAAGATTTTCTAGCGAGGTAAATTCATCCGTATAGGTTGAACAAGTTCTACATAAGAGCTAATTAAACAAACGGGCTGCCATATCGCTTGCTTTTACCGCCATTTCTTTTGTCTTGCGACTTTCAGGTAAAATTTGTGTAGAGAATTTCTAAGCTTTTACCGACATTTGATTTCAAGTCGTCATTAATCAACAAATGAAAGCGATCTAGGTTTAGTTTCAGTTCCTCCATTTACGGATAGAACGACGATAAGGGGGGTTTATTTACCTAACTTCGACGCGTCTTATTCGTCATAAATTGCCATTATGACCAGATAATAGGCCCCGACGACAAAAAGCTGTACATTTAGCCAAGGAAAACAGGGATAGAGTAAAGAGTATTTAGTTTGCAAACAAACTCCATTACGGCCAGGCTTTAGAAAGTGTTCCTGTTGAATAGTCTTCTCTAAGACAAAAACAAATATGAGGCCGCATCTCTCTAATGTGTCATCAAGCAACACTAGTAAACCTATACATCACAGAAAGACACGGGCTTATTTATTTATTATAGTTTGTCATTTAGATATATCACAAGCAAACACGATAACAAAAACACATTTTAAACATATTTTTATTGTAGTGTGGCATTTATATATCGCAGACAAAAACACATTTTAAATATTCTAACATCACAAATAGTTTGTCTATTATCTTCAATTTGGATTACTACCACGATAACACAATACAATTTAAACATTTTAGCATTATAAATACTTTATCTATTTTCTTAATTTGGATTATTTCCACCGAACTAATGCCCGAGTCTTTTTGTCTTATGTTTTATTACGCTCGTTAAACAAATCGCTTTCTTTGTTCAAGATATCTGGTTGTGAATTTTGAGACCATATATTTTTTTCTCTCTCGAAATGAATAACGTTGTTTTCATAAAATTTCGATTTTTAAATGGCGTTGAATAACAGTTTCTATAGTTTGTATTATTTTTTCTTACGTAACTGGAAATCTTCCATAAAACTTTATTTGGTTTACAGAGATAAAAGTTATAAAATAAATATCTGTTTAATTATCTTTTAATTGGTAAAATCTTAATTTCTAATGGACAATGGTGTCTAAACGCGAAACAATAATACATATATTATATTCTGAGAGAGAGAGAGAGAGAGAGAGAGAGGGGGGGGGAGAGATGGGGTTTAAAACGTTCAATCGACACAAACTAGATCATTTCGGGATTAACACATGGTTCAATTTTATTTCAATAATTCGCTTGCGCGTAGGGGTCTTTAGCAGTGGGAGGAAACCGGAGGACCCGGAGAAATCCCAGGAGCATGGACAGGCGACCCTACTCCTTGTAAGGTACATCCGGGGAATCGAAACCACGCCATTTGACTCAATAACAGACCTTATGATACAGCACGTACACGATAACCATCTATCTCTCTCTCTCTCGGTTGAAAAATTATTGTCTCGATATCATCAGTGACTGGCTTAAAATAATAATATTGTTTCTTATTTATATATTTAAAACATACTACAATATGATCATCTACAGACTTGTTGAATCTTACAATCTTCCATGTCCGTCTATTTTAGCCTGGTTGGTTTAGAAATGTAGGACTTTATAAAACTTATTTTAATTTATCATCTGAAACTTAACTAATTTCTAAAAACCTTTGAAACGTTTAATGAGAGAGAGAGAGAGAGAGAGAGAGAGAGAGCGAGAGAGAGAGAGAGAGCTATTATTCAGGAATATCGAAAAAACCGCAGCTTATACCCTTAGAATTTTTCAATTAACAGGCATATTGAAATTTAATATGAGTAAAAGCTGTTTAGAGACAGCATATTATTATGGCTTGCATAGACTTACTATCATTTTAAGAAATAGAACGTCAAATGATGTTATTTATAAAATACATTATCCGGTTAAACAGCTTCAAACATTTAAAAAATATTTTATGTTTCATTTACATGTGTATTTTTAATATTGTAGGTGTACATTACCGTATACAGACTGTGGTGAAGTTCGGGCGTTAAATTGTATAGAGGAGGTAAGTGTCTAGTTGTACAGTTATTTTGTTTGGGATGTTAATTTAATTTTAATTGCCGATCATGACCAGTTCTGGCACCGGTTTTACAAATCATTCTCAGATTAAAGTTAAGAATTTACTTTTAATCACTGTTTATGAGAAATATCTTTGACCCAGAAACACAAAAAAATGCGCATAGTTTCTTTGATTCATTAAAACAAAAAAAGTTTTATAAAGGTTTATTTTAGTTAAAATAAGGCAAATCTTTTGAGTAAATTTTTTGCTTGGTTCAGAATATTGTATGGTAAATATTCGTTCCCTATTAAATTGGTCAGCAACAAATTACATTTTTGGGGATTAAGTTTAGAAATTAGAATTTCATCTAAAAATAGAAGTAAAATCATGATATTTTATAATTGGTGGAGATGCTGGTGGTTATCCATTCTATACAATATATAATACAGACGGTCATTGTCAAACTGAGATATTGTATTTTACCAAAAAAAATAGTGAAAGACGTTTTAAAATTTACGGACAGGCATTGTTCTGTAACCAAAACCACTTGGACCCTGTAATGGAGTCAAAATCATAAACAATATGGAAACTGTAACGAAATTTTACAGACGTTACTCCTTTAACAAATAGACAATTGCCTTAAACATATCTGAATTTAAAAAATATATTTATCTTTTTTTTTTCAGTAGATGGTGACAGGAGAGTGGTACTCACATGTGTTTTATTTCAAAGATGAAGATAAGTAAAAACTATAAAAAGAGCAAAAAACCAACTGATGTAAGAATCGATAATCTTTAATGATTAAATTATTCTCGACAATATATAAACTTAACTGGAGAGAATGAGATCGAATAAAACCATACAAAAACAATTGAACGACAGGAACCAGGTTTTATTGTGATCAAGTAGTGATCGAAAAACTAACATCGAATTTATTTCCAACTCGTCGCTTCAGTAAATACTTCGGAAGAATGCGGTTGTGTCTAAAATGCGAAATGGCAAGTGTTGCGTACAAATGTTGGAATTGATTTAAAGGAAAACGGATCGAAATAAAGATGAGTAATAAGAATTGGATTGTGTTTTGTTTCAAGAGGAGTATTAAGTTATCGGGAAAATCAACAAGGGGAATATCGAATTTAAATATATAACGCCATCTTCTAAACTCTCGCACTTGTCCATGTTTAACTGACCCCCGATAGTTAATTAATAATTAACAAAGGAGTAAACAATTAAAGGAGTTTATTTGTATTAAAGTATACCATATCTTATATTCCCCTACGTCTATTACCATATTACATACTCTATATGTATTTAATACATACAGTACACAACAATATATTTCACAGAACCTCGGCTCCTAAACAATATATAATTCTATTTCCAGTAGAACGTGACAATTTTTTTATATTTTGATCAAGGTGTTTGACTAAACTAAAGTTGAACTTTCGATACATGTATATTCAAAATATACTTTGAATATATTCAAATTATACTTTGAATATATTCAAATTATACTTAGGTTATGATCAAAATATATACTTACTATATACTTAAATATACGCAAATTATGCTTAAAAATATTCTTAAAACATATTTAAAATATACTTTAAAAATATACTTCACTTAAAATATACTTCAAATATTATTAACTTAAAATAGACTTAACACATGCTTAACTTAAAATATACTTAAAACAAGTTAAAACTTAAAACCGGCTTAACTTAAAATATACTTAAAACATATTTAACTTAAAACATACTTTTAACTTGCTTAACATATACTTAAATTTACTTAAATATACTTAACATACTTAAAATATACTTAACATTTACTTAACGTATACTTGAAATATACTTAAAATTTACTTAAATATACTTAAATATATTCTTGATATTCTGCAAAACCAAATACATGTATTCTGTATTCAGACTAAACATGTATACTTCATAATGGTACAGAGAAACCCGGACCCATGCCTACTGCTATACTAGTTCACTAGATAATGTTTACATTTTGTCATTAGTACACATACCGGTACCTACAATATATTCTTATAACAAAACTTGATATTTTACGTAAAAATTAGTTATTAGTGCTTTATTGAAGGTCTTTATTTTGGGTTCAAATGTAATTAGCAAGAACGATCAGCTCTTTATCTAAATCTTACATAATGCATCTTTTAAAAAATCATATGTCCTGGACAGTCGCAATACTAAATACAGTTTGGAAAACAGATCAAAACTATCAGAAAAATTTATTTTCATACTTCAACAGGAAGGTTTTGATCGTTTGACAATCTACAAATTTTGCAATTTTAAAATACAGATCTATATTTCGTTTCGTTTTTTAATACTTTCGATGGCCTCCACTACATGAAGATCTGACCGGTTGCAGTGAAAGGTCGCGTCAGGGGTCATACGAGAGGCTTTTGACATTATGACGTCAGACATTTGATTAACCAATCAGCGTTCATGTTTCTAGTGGGGTGCCCACAGTTCCGTGCATCACACGTCAAGAACTCGGCGTAACAGACCGTTCCATTGGCTAATTCCTCACATCATCCAGAATGCTGGTTATAAAACACCTCTTCAAGATCCTCGTGTAGCAAAGACAAGTAAAACGAAATTTTGAACTATAAAATACGAAACGAAATAGGATCTGTGTTTTAATTAGACTGCAAATTTTAATATAGTCACCATTGTAAAGTACATTTGCTCGACTACTAATGGACGAATGCTTGTGGCGTGTGAGTAATGCACGTGCTATGATGAAATGAAATAAAAACAGGCTTACGACATGTCGTGTGCTATGAGGACAACGTTTGCCCAGACAGCAGCAGCGCTACGACCTACTTTTTTTTTCTAATTTAATGTGTACACTGGCCATCTAGATTCTAGAGCCGATCATAACTGGCCATCTGGATTCCATGGTCTAGAACCGAAAACTAAATTATTATTTTGATGTTATAGTGAAGTATGTTGTCTGTATAACCTGTCGTTTGGGGAATACTGGCTCCCCATTCTAATTCCTATTGATAAGATTATCAGAGAAACAGACGAAATTTGACAGAAAATAAAACAATTAGACGAGAAAATTAACTTTCACATTTGAGAGAGAGAGAGAGAGAAAGAGAGAGAGAGAGAGAGATTTGATTGAACGTCCATTAGACACAAACTAGGTCTTTTCCTGACCAACACATGGTTCAATTTTATTTCAATAATTGGCTTGCGCGTAGGGATCTTTAGCAGTGGAAAGAGACCGGAGGACCCGGAGAAAACCCACGAGGTTGGGCAGGCAACCCTACTCCTTGTCACGTACAACCAGAGATTCGAAACACCAGTTGGCTCAATGACAGACCTTATGCTACCTTAAAGCAATTCAACTTTAAGTCCTCGTTTCCAAATAAGGCATTAATTGTTTACATATTAGGATAATATTTCATGCTTTTAACGCATTAAAGCGATTAGGATTAAATGAACAAAGGGCGTTTCGGGGGAGGGAGATTATCTCGGACTTGCCGACGGAAAATCCGTCTCTAATGGAAGCTTCTGTTGACTTGACCCCGCACATCGATCATGTGTGGGTGCATTGACCATATTTGGGGGTGAAATCTGAGCTGACATGTCGATTTATTATCCCGCGTCAACACCATCAGTAATTAGACACAAAATTTACCAACGGATCAAACAGTTGAACGATTTCCTGATGACTTCTTACCCTAATCATACTTGGTTGACCAACCATGTAGCAAAAACACGACACGCGCCAGTCGCGTGATATTCAAAAATTCTCACGTGCCACAATTTAATCGGATTTGTTACCACGTGACTAGCGGCATTTGCGCATTTCAATTAACTTTAGAAAGTATTCATTTAAATATGGCGTTTAAATGAGCATGCGTAGATATCGTTTAATGATCTCGTGGGTAATAACCCCGGTCCCTATTTTTACACCGACGAGATTTGTTTTCCGATTTGAGGAGCGAAACCTTTAGAATGACGTTGCATAAAGTACAAGGGAAGTTGGCACAGACCTGGATTGAAATTCAGATTTCAACATGCAAACTTCATGGATTAAAATCTTATTGTTAGCCTTGCCCCCGGCGTTAGATTGGTAACACAAGGCATATTGCCAGTCATATAGAAAAATAGGCCTCGATTATTTATTAAATGATGTCCTCAGGGTATACATGTACTTTGTCGTGCCCCTTTTGGATTGTCCATATTTGAAAGGGAGCCATGGTGGTTCAATGAGTAAGACGCTGGCTCGCTAGCCTGGGGATTTCGGGTTCGTTCCAGGTGTTGGCCGAAAAAGTTCCTGGGGATTTTCCTGCGTGATTTTCCCTTCCCAGTTGTGCAGGACGGAGGGCCTGACAAGGAGAGCTGTTTGGTCGATCGAATTGAACAAAAAAACGAGTTCTTGTGTACACATTAGTGTGCACGTAAAAGAACCGTTGACAGTTGATATAAGAGCTGGTCGTAGCGTCGCTGTCCTAGCAAAATTTAAACCCAATTTCATGTCCATGTTTGAAACCACCGTGGCAAAGGTTTTCTTATTGCAAGCGAATTATTGAAATAAAATTGAACCATATGTTAGTCCCGAAATGACCTAGTTTGTGCCGAGTTGACGTTAAATCTCATTTCTCTCCCTCTTTAGCAGTGGGAGGAAAACCGGGGGACCCGGAGAAAACCCACGAAGTTGGACATAGTGACAGACGTTAACATAAAACAAATAAATTGAACAGTAATTTAGAAGACTAAAACAACAAATTTGGGTTAGATAATCTCTTGGCGTCGATGTTTGTGGATGAAATTGAAATACGTTCAAAACGTTACAGAGGCATGCATATAGCGTTATCCAATCAACAAAAACAAATGTAACTTTTCCAGGCAAAATTCTCCCTATAGCACACTGCATGACGTATACCAGTGTTCATTAGCCCGGTTGGTGCAGAAAAGAAGGACGTTAACCCTATTTCTTTCATACATACCAAAAATAATTGTTTTGGGTAAGACTTGTCGCGACTAACATATGACGCCGTGGACAACAGACCCTGTCGTGAGGCCAGGTCTAAAGGTTTTCCATTGTTCACGAACAGAGAGAGCATTGTCCCCTATCATAATCCCTATCCACTTCTCAAGACAAACTGACCACCATTAATCACTAACAGGGTGCACGTGCCACGGGGCAGACGACTGGCATGACGAGACGAATATGTAGCCCCTGTCTCCAGACTTCAACCAGGTTTTGTCACTCGCCTTTCAATGATCCCGATCAGAGCAAATTACACGTGACTGTCAGATTTTTCCGAGCTGCCACACATCAAGTCAAATTATCGTGTTAGAGAAGTTAAGCCGGTCAGAAAGCGCATTTAAAGAAATCTCTTAACAATAATAACAGAGAATGCAGTTTCCCAGTATAATGGTAGGGTCACGAGAGTAGGCGTGTCTACACGTCAGATCCCAGCAGGCGAGCGATATTAATCACTAATATTACCTAAATCAAAAACTCAACGAAACAATTCAAGTTATCAATCAGTCAGCACTTGATGGGACTTGAGTCTGACGTCCTCAACATTCGTTTGATGATTTCAAACAAATGATAATTGAGAAAGAAATTAGAAATAAGCATTGGCTTCTGAAATCCAAGTCCGTATTAATGATCCAATTAGCTAATGACACGAGGCAGGGTATGCTTACTATTTCTGGAACACGTCGTACCACTTCTCATTTGATGATTTCAAACTAATAATTGATAGGGAAGTAAGCATCGGCATCTGAAATCCAATTGCCTAGCGACAGGTGGTACACGAGGAGGGGTAATTCTGACTTTTTCTGGAACACCTGGTATCTCGTTGATATGTGAAGTGGTATCAGGTGAATTAGAGATAATAAACACACCTTTCCTGGTTTAAGGGTGTGGCCGTATCAGGTGTCCTCAAAACAATAAGTATTTCCTTTCTAGATGTGATGTATACCTAGATTGTGAAATGAAACGAAATGAAATGGGGTTTAACGTCCTACTGTTCTGCTCCGTACTGGGCTAATGAAGACGGGCATACACCATACA